CTCACGCTTGGCGTGGGTCAAAATCTAGTCTATATAATAAAAAAAGCTAGAAGCTATAAAATTGTGTTTTGTTTATATGACCTTAGGTGGATTCGCATCAACATTAGGTTAGGGTTCATAACGAAAACATGTTTCAGCTACAACTTATTTTTTCATTATGTCCCTAGTTCAATCCCTCTTGAAATGAGGAGTATTAATTTCCAAACGAAATAGATTAAAGGCTGACTTTGTGTCCACAAAAATTAGGGTCTACGAAAGAAATTCGAGATTATATACAAAAAAAAAACTACAACTCTTTTACGTTGTTCGACTAGTTCTATTAATGAGTTGACGCAATAGTAAAAGTTTAATGGGTTTTAATTACTAGGCCGAACACCGTACTGGAAATATATTAGAGAATATTGTAAATATTTCACATCAAAAATTGGAGATTTATAAGATACTATTACGTGGTTTATGAGTCTTTCTATTTATTATCAATTAATTTGATTTAGAAATCTATAAACCATAAAATGGTATCATAGTTTATGCTTTCAAAGTTTCAAAAAAAAAAAAAAGTTTATGCTTTCAATTTTTTTCGATTTTGGGATTTTATATTAATGTCCAACTCTACAAACTTTACGTTTCATATGTCACTAAGTGGGAGGAAACTATATGAAAATTTGAGATATTTGTAATATATTAAGGTGATCATAAATATTTTTAGTTATTGCAAGTTAGCTTTGAAGATTAAAAAGAATATGCAACTTGTCTCTTCTTTTTTTTTTTGATAGGTAACTTGTCTTTTTTTACCCGATTGTATTAATTTTTTTTTTATATAACTAAAAGTGATTCGAATTTTTACCATCCGATTAATTTCTTAAAATGAATGTAACTGTTGAATAATTTACTGACCAAAATTTTCAATGAATTTGAAATATGACGTCATTTTAACTGATCAAATAAAAATAAAAATATTTTTAAAAAATTGAATTCTCATTGGAAATGTTTTATCACCAACCACTATTTGATTAATATTAGTCTAGTCTATTGTTAAAAAATCATATGTTATAAAAGATTGAAATGAAATTTCCTCGAAGAATTAATCCACATATACTCTAGTCTACTCCTTCACAAAAAGGTAAGAAATATTTTTTTCTCGTAAAAGAGAAAAAAAGGAAGATTGTCCAATGAAGTTTATACTTTTAGTTGCGTTGTAAATTTGGAGAAACGAATTCTCTTCTTCTAACAACAAAAAAGAGAGATATTTTAGAATATCTCATATGGTTTATAGATCAATTTCTTTGCTTCTTCTTCTTTCATCTCCTCTCTCTCTCTACTCCGTGCCTTTCCCGATACTCGAACCTGACAGACGTTGCACGTTTAGTGCCATCGCTGACCAAGTGAGCTACAAGGGACGGGCATCTTTTCATCAGCAATTAATTTATTTAGAATTGTTAAGTTTCTGGTCAACAATTATCTAGTATAGAATTTGAAAACAATATCTAGTGGTTTGCGTCTTTTCAATAATGACTAATGAGTATAATTCAGATGTTTAATAAGGAAATTTCGAAAAAAATTGGTAAGCTGAAAAAAAATGTTGAATGTATGAATGTGTCGTTCAGTGATTTGTCTTGTAGATTATTTGTAAGTAAGTTCTTCTAAAATACTACGAATACCAAAGTCAAAGAAGAATGAAAATTGTTTTTTACCACAACCTTAAATTTAACATTTTGGAATTATAGTATGTGAAGCACATGTTTAATAGGCCCGGGTGCGGATCGGATATCCAGAAAAAAAAATGTAATATTTGTGATTCCATTTGTTTTTGACGGATATATAATTTTCCGATTTGTTTTGCTTCGAAAAATTTTAGATATCCGCGATGATAGATATCCAGATGTTTTCTAGATATTTGTGGATATCCGGATATTCGCAGATCTCTGTTTTAAACAAAAAAAAATAAATACCATAATATTTTTTTCAAAAATTTTTTTAATATAAGATTTAAACTAATTAATCAATAAATATATAAAATATGTCTAATTTTATTCGATAAATTGTTTAAAAAATAAAAAGTGAAAGATTAAAATGACGAAAACAAAAATATATTTTTAATTAAGAAATCTATTTCAAATAAAGTTAGTATTCTATCTATTTTTAATATAAATATATTCGCCAAATATATTTAAAAATAAAAAAATGTAAATATACGTTATAAATCTACCATATTATATGTATGTATAAGTAATATACTGATCGGATCGGATATTCGGATTTTGAAAACTAATATTTGTGATTTGCTTCGGTTTTGACGGATACTAAATTTTATTATTTGCTTTGCTTTGATTCAAAACGGATATCCGGATTTT